TTTATTCTCCCTGCGCGACACATCTGCCTGATATTTTGCTTTATGCATTTCCTTGACTTTATGCCTATGTAACATATCTCCCTGATATTTTGCCTTAAGCATTTCCTTTACTTTCTGTCTATGCAACACATTTTCCTGATATTTCATTTTATGAATTTCCTTAACTTTCTGCCTATGCAACACATTTTCCTGATATTTCCCTTTACGCATTTCCTTAACTCTCTGCCTATGCAACACATTTTCCTGATAGTCTATTCTCATTTTGGAGTACCGTTTCCTCTTCAAATACTTAATACGTTCAAAAACAATAGTTACTATTTGAACTACAGTTACTTGCAACACTTTGAACCTGCACTTTTGAAATCCTTCTAGACATGTGTCGTGTCTCCAATAAATTACCCACTTTGCACAAATTAAAGCAAACCTGCTTATCAACATGGTGGACACAAACCACTGGCTCAAAATGATTATTCACACATTTCAGGTACATCCCTTCATTAAACAATATTGTACTCTTACAACTGTATTTGAGCCAACTTTCACCACTATATGTAAATATGTCCACTCCAAAAGCATTTGCTGTTGCTTGAATTTCAATTTCTGTGGCACAATTGCCAACGTACTTTATCTGTGAAGCATTAATATATTCTGAAATTGAGGCATATCCTTTTCCCACTAACATCATGTTATCCTCACTGTGGTTCTCCATATACTTTACAACGGCTAGTCTAATCTTCCGATGACTCTTCTGAGAACCACTAATCACTTGTGATACTGCTCTAAAGAAACTATTACCATCCTCTTCAATTTTATGTCATACAAACAGCACCTAAAGACCCAGACACTGACGTTCCTTGTTCATCATGCTTTTCAAAGTCGACATTAAACTTACTACAAAGTGTTTTTGCAACTTCAGTGCACAAAGGATTGAATTCTAATGTGTTTTTACTCAAGTCACTTAACATTACCACACAATATGTATCCATAGCAGACAATGCACTACACTGCTGCTCTCTTTCATCTCCAAGAGGCTCACCTACACAACTTACAACTGAACTCAAACCATCTAAACAAACAACTCTGGTTTGCTGTCTAAAATTGTACCCTTTAGAACAAGACCTGTCGACTTTGCAGTAACCATAACAACTCTGCATCTGAGGCTGTTTAACGCAAACTACAGTCTCATAATGGTTACCACTGCAATTTTCCAGATACACTGCCTGATTTGACAGCTGCCTATTCTTGCACTTATATTCAAGCCAACGATCATCATAAAATGTGAATATGTTTCCGCCTAAACAATCTGCTGCTGCTTGAATTTCGATTTCTGTCGCCCAACTACCAACATAGCGCATTTTTGACATGCTAATGTATTGTGCCATTGAGGAATACTCACTTCTCAAAATATTCTCATAAGTAACAGCATTACTTTCCAAATGCTTAACCACAGCAAGTCTAATTTTTCTATGATGCTTCTGTGTACCTGTACCTTCTGTTGACTGACTGCTCTAAAGAAACAGTTACCATCACCAACTATTTTCTCATTGCTACATGGAGCCCCTAACAAACCAACGTTTGTACATACTACATCACCTTTTTCTGACTGTACATTTAACTGTGTGCACAGAGCTTGTGCAACTTCACTACGCAGAGGGATAAACTGAAACTCTTTCTGTTGTATCTCACTAACAAACACTACATCTGAATTAACTGCAGTCATATCACTCCTTTTTAACCTCTTTGATGTAGGGGTACTGAATGAAATCTTATGTTTCACACCTGTCTGACTGTTGGTCTCTGACTCCTGAGATGAACTACAACCCTGCTCACGCTCTCTAACTACGAAGCCTGAGGACAAATGACTTATGTCTGTAGTTGTGCCTCTACGAATGACATACACACCAGCAATCTCAAAAGGCCTTTGCCTTCCGCTAAGCGATGCAGCCAAATTGCATATGTAATCATGCACCTCTTTAATACAACTAAAATACAGAATCACACTTTTACCATTAGGATCTGCCATTCCAGCAGCACTGCGCACATGAGAATCTACAACTGCATACCGTCCATTCTGACAAATGATCACACATGTGCTACTACACAATGTTAGAAAACATGCTTCATATTTGGCAAACATATTTTGTAATCCATTTTGTAGAGACGTGTGTACACTGGCCTGGATAAGTTCTCCATCTACAACATTTACGTCATCAGATACATAGTCACCATATCCAAACTCAAAGTTCTGTCCATCAATCAGTGACTGCTTTGGCAAATCAGGAACGCACAACAGGTTTGACTTGCCANACCATATCCAAACTCAAAGTTCTGTCCATCAATCAGTGACTGCTTTGGCAAATCAGGAACGCACAACAGGTTTGACTTGCCACTAATCTTGTTGCTATCGCGCAAGGACGTGTACAACTTATCACCCAAAAGCACAACTGTGTCCAGATCTTTTGTCTGCCACGTAAACACACTATCTACTGCATGTTTTGCTACACTTGCCAAACCTATGGCCATACAGTGAAGTCCTCGATATTTAAACAGATCATCCCCCTGATGAAATGATCCTCTTACACTGTTTTCAACCCTAACAGAGCTGTACTCCACCTCATCTGCAACCTGAGGTTTTCCCATTTCAACAGTATCGACTGCTACTCTACCAGAAACAACCTCTACAACCTTATCTGCTGCATCATGACACTCAAAAGTATCACTTTCAAATGTTCCCCTGACTGAATTGCTACCCTCAACCTCTGCTGCAACAACATCACTAGCTGTGATGACTCTAGCACTTCCCATGTCAGGATCAACTTGACATGCCTCCACAGAAATGCTACAAATGGCATACCACTGTGTATCTAAAGACTTTTTTAGATTTCTGATGTGAAGCATCAGGTCATTAAGGCATGCGTTGAAAACAACCACAGCCGTGCCAATGTCGGACGCCAAGCCAGAATTGGCACGTGTGCCACAATCAACCACCACAAAATAATCTTGGTGATGAATGTTAACACTAACTGCACCACAGAGGTTCAACAGACACATTCCATCCCTCAACAAATGTTCCTGTAAACTATCACACATGACCGTCTCCTCTTCTGACAACCCAAAATCCCTGTAAACTGTCTGACCAATAGCTACTTTCCAGTTCCTGCCAAAAACACTGTGCTGTTCAATCAATTTACATAACTGCTTTTGTTTAGCATCAATTTTCTTAGCTTCCTGAGCTACATACGCGGCCAACTTGCTCCCTTCTACACCTACCTCATCAACATCTGACGCTCGCCATGTACAGTACAGGCCAAAAGTTTGGACACACCTTCTCATTCAATGCGTTTTCTTTATTTTCATGACTATTTACATTGTAGATTCTCACTGAAGGCATCAAAACTATGAATGAACACATGTGGAGTTATGTACTTAACAAAAAAAGGTGAAATAACTGAAAACATGTTTTATATTCTAGTTTCTTCAAAATAGCCACCCTTTGCTCTGATTACTGCTTTGCACACTCTTGGCATTCTCTCCATGAGCTTCAAGAGGTAGTCACCTGAAATGGTTTCCACTTCACAGGTGTGCCTTATCAGGGTTAATTAGTGGAATTTCTTGCTTTATCAATGGGGTTGGGACCATCAGTTGTGTTGTGCAGAAGTCAGGTTAATACACAGCCGACAGCCCTATTGGACAACTGTTAAAATTCATATTATGGCAAGAACCAATCAGCTAACTAAAGAAAAACGAGTGGCCATCATTACTTTAAGAAATGAAGGTCAGTCAGTCCGGAAAATTGCAAAAACTTTAAATGTGTCCCCAAGTGGAGTCGCAAAAACCATCAAGCGCTACAACGAAACTGGCACACATGAGGACCGACCCAGGAAAGGAAGACCAAGAGTCACCTCTGCTTCTGAGGATAAGTTCATCCGAGTCACCAGCCTCAGAAATCGCAAGTTAACAGCAGCTCAGATCAGAGACCAGATGAATGCCACACAGAGTTCTAGCAGCAGACCCATCTCTAGAACAACTGTTAAGAGGAGACTGCGCCAATCAGGCCTTCATGGTCAAATAGCTGCTAGGAAACCACTGCTAAGGAGAGGCAACAAGCAGAAGAGATTTGTTTGGGCCAAGAAACACAAGGAATGGACATTAGACCAGTGGAAATCTGTGCTTTGGTCTGATGAGTCCAAATTTGAGATCTTTGGTTCCAACCGCCGTGTCTTTGTGAGACGCAGAAAAGGTGAACGGATGGATTCCACATGCCTGGTTCCCACTGTGAAGCATGGAGGAGGAGGTGTGATGGTGTGGGGGTGTTTTGCTGGTGACACTGTTGGGGATTTATTCAAAATTGAAGGCACACTGAACCAGCATGGCTACCACAGCATCCTGCAGCGACATGCCATCCCATCCGGTTTGCGTTTAGTTGGACGATCATTTATTTTTCAACAGGACAATGACCCCAAACACACCTCCAGGCTGTGTAAGGGCTATTTGACCAAGAAGGAGAGTGATGGAGTGCTGCGGCAGATGACCTGGCCTCCACAGTCACCGGACCTGAACCCAATCGAGATGGTTTGGGGTGAGCTGGACCGCAGAGTGAAGGCAAAGGGGCCAACAAGTGCTAAACACCTCTGGGAACTCCTTCAAGACTGTTGGAAAACCATTTCAGGTGACTACCTCTTGAAGCTCATGGAGAGAATGCCAAGAGTGTGCAAAGCAGTAATCAGAGCAAAGGGTGGCTATTTTGAAGAAACTAGAATATAAAACATGTTTTCAGTTATTTCACCTTTTTTTGTTAAGTACATAACTCCACATGTGTTCATTCATAGTTTTGATGCCTTCAGTGAGAATCTACAATGTAAATAGTCATGAAAATAAAGAAAACGCATTGAATGAGAAGGTGTGTCCAAACTTTTGGCCTGTACTGTACACACAGGAGCAATCGCATGTTTGATGGTTTTCCGAACACCTGCAAGGAAGAGGATTAGCAACGGTCTGACCTTTGGTGGATAGTGGCGTGCGCTGCATCTGTAGGCTCTTCTCCTCCCTCACAGCCACTGGAACAGGACTGGTAGGTGACGGCTCGGAAGTCACCTCCACAGCACCCAGGGTCAGGGTCGCCTCCGCCTAGAACAACAAAACACATTAAAAACAATAAATGAATTGCATAAACAAAATGCTGCTTTACAAATCTCCTCTGGGAGCCATGAAGAGTAAGAAACTTCCACATGTAGCTTTTAATGCAAGAAAAACAACATATTTTACTTTTCTTTAATATTTGGCATTTAGCGTTTCATGGACAATATAAGTAGTCTTAGCTTTTATTAATTAAGAGGGCTTTTACAATAAAAGGGAAAAATACAAGCATGAATTACATTGAAGTGTTCTAGTTTATACCATATCAAATATTACAATAAAATAGCTTTGCTGACTCCATTCAAAAAACCATCATTCACAGTAAGTGCACCAACCTCCTCCCTCGCAGCTCTGGCTGGTGGGGCAGCACAGGCACACAGGATAGGACGGGCAGGACCAGCGGGCGGCACAGGGCTGGTAGGTGTAGCCTGGGAAGACACCTCCACAACGCTCAATGCTGCCTCCACCTAGAAAAAAACAACACAAAAACTAAATCAACTGCATTTGCAAGTCTCTCATGGGAGGAAACAGCTCCCTGCTGATTGTCCATACATGGCTCATAATGTAAAAAAAAAACAAAAAAAAAAAACAAAAACACAACTGTCTATAGCCAAATTTGAACCATATGGGACAATACAAGCAGTAATATTGTATTTTGTGTATGTTATTAATGTAGACCCAGCTGGATATAATTTACATATTGATACACAATTATTGCTTCTGTGTGTATTATACTGTTTGTTTGTACTTTGTTAATTTTATTTACACAGATATACACTACATAAAGTTAAAATGAAATTAGTTCTTATTTCAATCTGTACATTTGATGAAACCTACAGGCTACCAATAAAAAGTATCTCTTGATGATTGTAAATACTATTGTTTGTGTTGTTTTTAAACTATAATTCATACTGCAATAGGTATGCATGCTTTAATCAAAAAATATTAGACATTTTACACAAACTGCACATACCTCCTCCACCACAGCCCCGCGTGTAGGACTGGTCGCTGAAGCCTCGGTGGACAAAGCCGCAACTCTTGGCTTTGCAGCTACCTAGTAAAAAAACAAAACAAAACAGTAAAATGAAATTGATAAATGTACTTTATCATTGTATCATAATTGACTGAATACAACAAACATGCAACAATTTGGTTGCTACCTATCTACTCCCCAGACAGTTTCAAATTACTCAAATATTACACTGAAATTTATGACCAACCTGCTGCCTAGCAGGTCTCCTCTTTGAGGCCGCAGCTGTCTGCCGTCGTTCCACAACTGGCACCTAATATAAGAAAAACAATATAAAGTTTTTGAAGACATATTTGGGGCATAGGTCCTTATGTACAGTATAAGCAGTCTCCACATTGATAACTAATGGGATAAAATGGATTACATGTACTGGGATTACATCATCTGGAAAAAGAATGGTAACTGTAATCCATTACAGTTCAAATTCAAATTGGTAACTGTATCAGAATACTATTTTAAAGTAACCCTACCAAGCCTGATCAGGACTAAAGAAACACAAGAAGGCCTTAACAAAATAATACAATTTGCATCCAAGTTACCTGCTTGCCATGTGGAACGAGTGTGGACACGTCACACACAGGGGTAGGCAGATGCGATGGAACAGCACGATCCATTGCATCCAAAATGGCAGTACTGAAGCGGACAGGATTCAGTGGGATGAAGCACTCCTTCAACACCACCTGTGAAATAAAAGGCAGAAAGACCATTGCTGAAAATTTGTCTAGGTAAAAAGCAAATCATACACAGCATAATAAAAACATAACACACCTGCTGGTGAACCATCCTGTGTTTGGTTTCATCAGAGGACTGCTCGTTGTCCTCAGGATGGTTTCTCTGCAATGACAAACAGCATAGCGTGTATTTAACACGTGTACCCTTTGATCATTAGTATGTTAAACTGCTTAGAGAGTAATTAAACCCTAAAACCACTTTTTTTCAGCTGATAATCATTGTTTCTGGTAGTATAGTAGTGTTACTGACTGATCCTGCTCAAAATAACAAGTTTAGTGCGAACTGTTGAAAATCTACATTTTATTTAAAAAATGTGGTATGGAGTGCCCTCTACAGCTTGAAACCTGGTTACTATATTTGAATTTACATTACATTACATTGGAGGCGAATGACTCTTTTTCGAGGCGAATGACGTCACTAACCGTCCACGCTAAAGCCTGCCCTCCTCCCTTTACTCCTCCTCCCCTTACTATAAAACCATTCTGTCCGCAGTAATTAAACAGATAGCGAGTAGGTTCGATCAGAGCAGAGAGAGTAGTAGAGCAGAGAGAATAGCCAGTAATTTGTCTAATTGTATTGTTAGCATAGTGTATTTTAGAGTAGGTTTACAGTTAGTAGTGTGTTTATAGTATTTAGGTTAGTTTTTAGTGAGTGTAGACAGGTATTAGTTTGTTAGATTTTCCAAATAGTTGTAGGTAGCTTTAGTTTGTAGTTGAACTTTGTGTGTTTTAGGTAGGTGTTAGTGTTAGGGTCAGTTAGCTTTGTTAGCTAGTTGCCTAAATGGGGCGGCAGTGTTCCTATCCCGGCTGTAAAGCCATCTCTGGCCTGCACCAGTTTCCAGCGGACCCAGAAATCAGGCACGAGTGGCTGCACGCCCTTGGCCTGCCGGACAGCAGTGATATCCCGCCTAGAGCCGGAGTGCGCAACCTGTATTTTTCCAGGCATTGCTTTGCCAACATCATGCAGGTCAAGATGGGGTTAGCTAAAAGGACAGTGCTGACAGACAATGCAGTGCCTCTCCCAGTGCTGCACCTGCCGCCGGAGACTACGCTGCCTTTTCAGGTGAGTCCATTGAAGTAATTACGCCACTGATAAAGTGAATATTGCTTGTTAGAGATTCGTGTTTTTATTGTATCTAATAAGCTTAGCTTACATTGCTAATCATAGGATAACGTTACCCTGATGGCCAGAAATTGTGGTCCAGCACTATCTCTTTATTTACGTGATACGAGTTTTGGCCCCTGCCGCGAAACAACCCCCCTCCACCGGGTCAGCCCCCCTGGCGGGGGAAGACAGCTGTTTTGCGGGAAGCCATAGCATGAACCACCAGGTGTTACAGAGCTCGACAGTGCGAGCGTTTCACTCGCATTTGCGACTAAAACTAGGTGTGTGCGAACTGTAAAAAATATTTAGGGGCACATGTGCGCATAAAAAAATCAGCCGAAGCAGCCTATATTTTTGTCAAAAAAAAAAGATAATCTAACCGCAAATGTTGGAGGAACTCCAGCAGCCTTCCCTCTTCTCTCTTCCCCGTGTGACACAGTTATGGGCGGTTTTCCAAGCCACTGTCGGCACAATGAATATAAGTCCCACTGTCGGCTGGGTGGGAATAAGTCAAAGTGTGGCGGAGACGAGGGACCGGGAAAAGCAGTGGACCTCCGGGGAAGCCTGCTCCATTCTCCCCGCAGTTAGGGACCGTTCGCCACGGTCCCGCTGCTGGGCAGGGTGGAGATAAGTCCTGCAGAGTTTCAGAGGACATGGAGAATGTTTTAGGATAGTAATAACATTATATAAGATAATCATATTGCAAAGATAATATATATAAGATAATAACATTAAAGACAAAATTAAAATGCAATACTTTTTCAAAACTTTCCTTTCCTTTCTGTACATTTTGTATACAGATTCATTAAATAATTTTGCTTGTAAATGTCTGTTTGCATCATTGTTAAAATCTGTTGAACATGCATGCAATACCTCATCATATGTAACATCTAGAAGTGGTAATTTTATAGAGAAAGAAATACCATGGATAAAGTCAAGTGGTGAAACATTGTTATGTTCTGTTTCAGAAACAGACCAGAGAGATCGGGTGCCAGACGGAACCAGTCAGCACTAAACATGCTTATGTGCAGGCTAACTTGAAGCCGCACAGGAGAAGCAAAGGTGAGTCATATTATTAGTTAACTCTTAGATTTCTCAGCAATTGGCTGAAGCCAGACTCAATCAGGGTCTGTAAAAGTTATTCTTTTACTGTAAATGAGGTGTCTGTAGGACTGCTTCTGTAAGATATGACACTCATAAGTTGGTACTGAGCACACCCCTTATATAGCCTGTCCTTATCCCTCCATTCAATGATTTTTGTCTCTGAAATCATTTAAATGAAAAAATACTATTTGTCAATTTCTATCATAACCAGTTGGTTTTTAATTTGATTATCTAATTGTCCAGTCACTGGCCCATCCTGTCCAGTATGCATTCTAGGACAAAGGAAGGACATTTCTCAAATTTTATGAAAATATGACATATCTTTACTAAAAATTTGAGAAACCTACATCTATACACCATTCATTTCTTAAACCAATGTGTACCTGAGTAAAAAGTTTTCATATTTATGTGCTATATCATCATTATTGCATAATAAGAATTGCATAAGAGAATATAAAATAACAACTCTACTTGCCAAGTGTGCCAGTGGTGCAAAAAAGTTGTTATGGACAGTACCCATGTTAATTTAACTAGTGCAGTGCTGATTCAAAATGTGCTTGTCCAGATGGGGCTGATTAATGTTTACATAGGACAACATCTGGTCCACCCTAATTTTATTTTGTCAATGGAAATGAGGCTTACTGTCGAACCTTTTATTTGTGCACAGCTACTCAGGCCAGAGCCCCAAACAGGAGTGTGTCATGTGACACAGATACTCTCCTTGCTGTTCCTGAGGCCTTTGCAATCCCTGTGGTTCCCCTGTCAAGCTCCACCCCTGTCAAAAGGCCAAGATGTGAGGTATCAAATGATGACTCCAGCTATCATCTTGAAGTGACCAACAGCACCATGGATTGTACAAGGTAAGGGATGTAGTTCACAACACTATTACTATTTCTGCTATGTTTTACACATTCATATAATCGTATTAGTGTTTCATTTGGAAGTGCTATACTATCTACTAGATTGTGTAGGAGTGAGCCATATCTGTGATTAATGTAAAATTCCAGCAAGATTTCCTTTTGTTCTAGTTTGACATGCAATTTGAATACTATCAGGACTACTGGGAATAAAGTTTCATGTTGTTAGCATCATTGCCGTAGTCACACAATGACATATATGTTTCATTGTTTTCTATTCCTCAAAGCATCGCTGATGGATTGCCACCTCATACAGTGACCAAGTACATTGTCAATGAAGACATGTTAATGGAGCTGTTCAAAAAATGCCCAGTTTGCACCCAGAGCTGTATCATCTCAAAAACTGTCATTGGGACACTCCTCCAAGTTAATCAGAGCTGTCCTCACCAGGGGTCGCGTTAACCGTATATTCTCGGTCATTGACCGTTTTTTTATAACAATGACCGGAAAATCTGAAGGCCGTCTGTCATTTTGACCGGTTGCAATTACCACCCCTGCCCACATGGCGGCGGAGTGCACAGCCAGTGGCTGCCGTTTTCACACTGCAGAGAAAAAGTCATTCATCTGCTTCATGTAGCGTTGTTGAGCCCTGGACACACCGGACGTGTAGTGCCGTGGAAGTCCTGCGAGTGTACTCGCAGGCGCTTGACTGTCCAAACAGGCAGCGCATTTCTCCTGCGCTCTCCGCGCTGGTTAAACATCGACTCCACTCATCTGTTCCCGTCAGTACACGTTTTTTCACTTCAACAGGTCATTTTAAACATGGGTAAGGCCATATTTTAATTGTAATAAGTTAATGACAATTTGTCATTGCATGTCCATGTATTGAGCGTGTTGGATAAACACTGAATGAATAGGGCATATTGTGATTGACCATTTTATTTATGTAGTTATGTCTGTAGGCTCGGTGACACAAAATTAAAATTGTAATGAAGTGATTAGGGTATTGACAAATGTGTTTGGTTATGCACTGTTGTGTTATTTTAAATTATAAACACGGTATTTTACTGCTCACGTGAAAAATAGACCAGACGACGAACTGAAGCGCTGCCTCCGCGGGCGCTCCGCTCTGCTCAGCGGCCTGTGTGGACAGTCAGATAGGTTAACATGGGCGCCGATTGAAAACTGCCTCCGCTGTTGGGCACTGCTCTTTGGTTCCGCGTCCGGTGTGTCCAGAATGGCACGGGTGTGTGGATGTCTGTTCATCTTTTCGTTCATGTCCTTATTAATGCACACTTTATAACTTGCTTGTTGGATTTATTAAAAACGAACGAATGAAAACTAAATGTCTTTGAATATCTTAAAGGAAAGTTAAAATGACTGGTAAAAATAGATTATGACCGGATTTTTATGACCCTGTCGGTCAAAATGACCGGCGACGAAAAAGTCTAGCGCAATGTCTGGTCCTCACTGTGAGTACGCTCATCAGTGGTCGAGCCAGCCAATGGTGAACAACATACCAGCAGGGAACCTTCAACTATGTGCAGCTGTTCTGTTCACAGGATCTTCATTTGTTAACCCTTTGGGCCCGAACGGCGCATAGTGCGTCCAAATTCACACCTGTTCTTCTCTATTGATTTTCTCCGCGACCGTGCATCATAGTGAGAAGCCACGCATGTCACGTGAAACAGCGAAATTGTAGCTTTGCGACAAGACCAAGCACTTGTCGGTAGTCCAATGTTTTCATAGCGAAAATAAAAAAAGATAAAGTTACACTACAATCATGAATAACAGAGTTTTCAGCTCTGCACACACATTACTCTTGGATGGATTACTCGCGAATGCAGGCTCGCACAGAAATGCCACGCATATCACATGAAAGCACAGGACTAGAGCTTTCTAATGATACCACACACATCATTGTGCTGTCATCCCATCATGCTATAAATCCATCAAATCAATCATGTCCGCCTGGCACAAACCACATGTTTTGGACAGCTGTGAAGTGACAGAATGCCCCACCATCATGGTTCTTATATTGCTAGATTCCAGAGAGTCTCCCCTCTTCATATATGGCAGAATATGTCTTCTTCCAACTTGCTATGCTGAGATACATGTAAAAATGTAAGAATTTAGTAACACGGATTTGTTTTTTTTCATTGATATAAAAATTAATATAAAATACAGGCACATAGAAGGACATGAAATGATGGCAAATCTGGTTAGCCCAGGTTGTCCTGAAAAAAAAACAAGATATAGCATGTGTATGTAGCCTTTAATGTGATATGAGCTTAAAAGTAAAGGCAGTAAAAATACCCCCAAAACGCCTAGGCCCCATAGGGTTAAGATCTCAAAGGTAAAAGAGGACATCCTCACTGACAAATTCAGTTACAGTAGTATATTGTAATATGTCATCACCTCACATTGATGTTTTCCACTTAGTTCCTGGAAGCGTTCAAGATCCGAGGAATCTCGGAAGCAGCCTTCCACAAACACCAGGCCAATCCCCTTTTCCCTACCATCAACTGGATGTGGCACCAAAACCAGGATGACCTCATCAGAGAAAACTATAGCTGGTGGGGATGTTACTCTTGGTGGCGACATATGCGTGCTGACTCACCAGGTGATTATTTAATTTGATGATTATTTACTGTATGTGTATGTACATATATATATATATACAGTACAGGCCAAAAGTTTGGACACACCTTCTCATTCAATGCGTTTTCTTTATTTTCATGACTATTTACATTGTAGATTCTCACTGAAGGCATCAAAACTATGAATGAACACATGTGGAGTTATGTACTTAACAAAAAAAGGTGAAATAACTGAAAACATGTTTTATATTCTAGTTTCTTCAAAATAGCCACCCTTTGCTCTGATTACTGCTTTGCACACTCTTGGCATTCTCTCCATGAGCTTCAAGAGGTAGTCACCTGAAATGGTTT